CTGGGACTCTTGGTACCACGCCTTGAGCTGAAGGTAGACACCCAACCACTGAGCCATCCAGGTGTCCCTCTCATCAGGGTTTTAACTTGCATTTCCCCAGTGGTTAATGATGCTGAGCCAACTTCACTTTATAAATACGGTGTCATAAGGACATATTATGTAACTCTATATTTCTAAGATTTTTATTTTTTTAAATGAGTTCTACGCCCAACAAGAGGCTCAAACTCATGACCTCGAGATCAAGAGTCCTCTGCTCTATGGAGTGAGTCAGTCAGGTGCCCCATATTCCTAAGACCTTTTTTTAATGTTTCTGTCATTTGTGAGTTTTCTGATGCTTAGTATTTCTTTGTGGGACTATTCTAGAACATATTTTGTCCATTGGCTTGTATTTGTGTAGTTTCCAGATTCGTGTGAAATTGAGAACATTCATGTCTGTGTCTCCTGGTTATACAAGCCAAGAACTTCCTAGGCTAGATGGCTAAGAGTAGAATTCTGGGTTGTATGTATTCTAGATACGACTAAATTACTCTCTAAAAGGGTCATGTCAACATTTATTTTTGTTAATCCATTGTACATGTGAGAGACATAAAGTTCAGGGTGCATTTCGAAATGGGAAGAGTGGGGGATCCCTGGGTGGCGCAGCGGTTTGGCGCCTGCCTTTGGCCCAGGGCGCGATCCTGGAGACCCGGGATCGAATCCCACGTCGGGCTCCCGGTGCTTGGAGCCTGCTTCTCCCTCTGGCTGTGTCTCTGCCTCTCTCTCTCTCTGTGACTATCATAAATAAATAAAAAGAAAACGAAATGGGAAGAGTGTATATATGTGATATTATTATTTTTTATTTATTTATTAATGATAGTCACAGAGAGGGACAGGCAGAGACACAGGCAGAGGGAGAAGCAGGCTCCATGCACCGGGAGCCCGACGTGGGATTCGATCCCGGGTCTCCAGGATCGCGCCCCGGGCCAAAGGCAGGCGCTAAACCACTGCGCCACCCAGGGATCCCTATATATGTGATATTAATATGATATTGTGCCTAAATATGAGATAAATGTCACCTTGGATCGAATCTATTAACAAAGCTATTAGAAATTTATTTCCTGGGCTGGGGGCGGGCAGATGTAGGAAATTCTCAAGTTTCTGGGACCAGGGAACAGATCTACTGAGAGACCTTCCATCAGAATCATTGATAAGTACAGAGATATGTAACAGGGAGAGGTTGCAGAGCAAAATGTGCTCGCTAATAAAGATAGGGAAGAGGGTAGAGGGCGTGCATCTGTACTGTTATCTCAACAGTAAAAGCTCATGTTCTATATCAAGTGCTGAGAACCATGTGACTAGCAGGAAACTTGTCTCTCCCAGGACAGAAACACCCATTACATTGATTGAAGCGGCCTATATGTAGGAAGCTTTAACTGCATTCGAGGAGCTGGAGCTGGAGAGAAATACCCTAATCCAAGGGTCTTTCAAATCCAAGACCCTACTTGCCCTCAGAACGTTCATCACTTGTGGGGAGGGCATAATGAAAGAGCAGTACGGTGGGTTGGAAGACAAGAGCTATACACCAGAAACAGGCAGGGTGCATCAGAAATTCCCGAAGTAGGGATCCCTGGGTGGCGCAGTGGTTTAGTGCCTGCCATTGGTCCAGGGCGTGATCCTGGAGTCCCAGGATCGAGTCCCAGGATCGAGTCCCACGTCAGGCTCCCTGCACGGAGCCTGCTTCTCCCTCTGCCTGTGTCTCTGCCTCTCTCTGTGTGTCTCTCATGAATAAATAAATAAAATCTTGAAAAAAAAAGTCTGAAATAGGGGAAACCAACAATTCTGAGTATTAGAAAAGATTTGATCTCTTCATCCTTCTCAAGAAGAGGGAACAACAATCCCCAGAATACACACCGTGAAGCGTCCTAGAGCAAGGAAACAGAACCAGTCATGGTTACATGCAAACTCATGGATGAATCACAAAAGCATCGTGCAGGGCAAAAGAAGTCAGACATGAACGAGTACGTACTGTACACTTCCAATTCTATGATGCTCTAGAACGTGGAGATCTAATCTATGGGCATAGAAGTCAGAATCCAGGGTGTCTATAGGCTAGTGGTGTGCTGTGGCCGGCTTATCTTGCTACCATTCCTTCCAGCTTCCTGATCGCTGAAAATCAGCCACGGTGGAAATATTTACACCATGGGAAAGGGCAAAATACTTTGCACCAGGCTGCCTCACTCTCTTTCCCTGCACCACCCCCTCTTTTTCATCTGTCTTCCAATCCATCTGTCATTTCAAAAACCCACTGTTAAACATTTACTAGCACACCACTGCTGGTAGGAGCAAAGGGGATTCATTGAAAAGGGCACAGAGGACGCTCTCTGGAGTGATGGAAAGGCTCCATACATTCTTCGCTGCATGGTACGCTCACCTGGGTATAGACAATTGTAAAACCTCAAGGAATTGAACATTCAAGACCTGTGCGTTTATTATATGGGAGTGACAGCTCAATAAAAAAAAAAAGACTATATGCACGCACAGCCTAAAATGAAATAAAATAATGGAGAGATCACTTTCCAGACAGAAGGAACGCCCAGAGCTGGGGAAGTTTGTAGCGTTATTTGAAGTCAGATAGTTATTCCCCTTAATTTTAAGTGAGTGGGTAGGAAAAGTCAGAGGAAAAGCTGAAAAGGCACAGCTTGTAGAAGTGGAGAAGCAGGCAGGCTGAGCCTTAATCCTGGAGAACCTTAGTTACACTGCACTTTCGATCACTGTTACATTTCATATATATATATATATTGGTGCCCAGCAGTTACTGTCACATAAAGAGCACTGCAAGGGTGCCTGGATGGCTCAGTCTGTTAAGCATCTGATTCTGATTTTGGCTCAGGTCATGATCCCAGGGTCCTGGGATTGAGCCCCGCATCAGGCTCTGTGCTCAGCAGAGAGTCTGCTTGTCACTCTGCTGCTCTCCCTGCTGGTGCACTCGTTCTCTCTCTCTCTCTCAAATAAATAAATAAATAAATAAATAAATAAATAAATAAATAAATAAAATCTTTTTTTTTTTTTTAAAGAGCACTGCAATCCAGCTCTCAAAAGTTGACTGAGGGGCAGCTGGACATGAAGTGGACAGGACTGAGTCAGGGTGACCAAGGGATCTGGGCCGGACCCTGGCAGATGGTGTCACCTGAGCCTGTTTCTTTACACGTGGTTCCCAAAGGTGCCCCACCACGCTATGTACACAGGTGCTCAGGGATGTGACAAAAATGCAATGTGGTTGGTGAGTTTCTTGTGAAGTCAACTTTTTTCCTATTTAAATGACTTCTTTATTCTGTGCTATGTACTTCCTTTTTTTATTTTTTCCCCAATTGGCGTTAAAGTGTCCTTTCTCATAAAATGGCGTACCTGCTGTGGGAAACAGTATTCTGATTCCTCAAAAAATTAAACATAGAATTACCATATGACCCAGCAATTCCACTTCTGAGTAGATACCCAAAAGAATTAGAAGCAGGGACTTGAACAGATACTTGTGCACTGTATTCATAGTGGCAGTACATGACAGCCAGGAGCTGGGAAAACTCAAAGACCCAACAACGGATGACAGGACAAACAAAATGTGGCTCATCCACACGATGAAATATTACTCAGCCTTAAAAAGGAAGGAAATTCCGATACCTGCTAAAATGTGGATGAAGCTTGAGGACACTACGCTTGGTGAAATCAGGCAGGTACAAAAGAACATCCTATTGTTAAAAAAAAAAATTCAGCTGAGTAAATGTAAGATCTAATTGGCTCTTTTTAATGATTAAAGAAATGAGCAGCATCCCATCTTAGCGGAGAAAGGAACTCTGAGAAGCTGTACAGAAGGAAAGGCTTTTATAGGCAGAAGCAGGCAGAAAAAGGAAGTTTCTAGCAATGAGTGAACTGTTTCAGGCAGGGGTCAGTGGTGGTGGTTGGGGGGGGGTCCATCAAGTAGATTACCTCACTGGGGACGACCAGATAATTCCAGATCAACTAGTTAAAGGTCACATTCTTGGGAGAGGCTAAAACTGCAGTTGGGTTAGGTATTAAGTCTTGTTTTTTCCAACATGGGACTTAATGCTGAGTGAATTCATTTTGGGCCTGTTGTTTCTTTTTTTAACAGGATCACTCCAATTATTTGAGGTCCCCAGAGAAGTCCTGTCCACAGAGACAGAGAGGAGAAGGTGTGAGCCAGGGGTGGGGAGTCAGTGCTTCCTGGGTACGGGGTCTCCATGTGGGGAGGTGGAAGGTTCTGGAGACGGTGGTGGAAGTGCTTGCACGATGATGTGAGTGTGCTCCGTGCCGCTGAGCTGTGCACATAGAATATTAAGCGGTAGGTTTTATTTATTTATTTATTTTTAAATATTTTATTAATTTATTCACGAGAGACCCAGAGATGCAGAGACCCAGGCAGAGGGAGAAGCAGGCTCCACGCAGGGAGCCCGATGCAGGACTCGATCCCAAGACCCCGGGGTCACGCCCTGAGCCAGAGGCAGACATTCAACCGCTGGGCCACCCACAAGTCCCCAGCAGTAAATTTTATGTCATACGTATTTACCACAACTTAAAATATATTTATTTTTTGCAATGAACTTTCTTTTATGAAAGAATTGGGTAATTGACATGGGGGTGGGGGCTGCATGTCCATAAGTGACAAAAAGACTTAAGTTGACTCTGGCTGGTGTCCCACAGCTTTGGGGGCCTTTCCTGGCTCACGCACCCCAGCCGAGCACCCACGAGGCTCACAAGGGTCCAGCCGCAGCCCAGCGCACCTGCCGGCTCTCATCAGCCCCTAACCGTCCCCCCTCTGGCTCCGCCTCCCCTGAGCCTCCGCCCAGAGCCCCAGACGCATGCGCAAACGCGCAGTGGGGAAGCGAGCGAGTGCGCACGCTCCCGGCACCGCCTCCGTAGGTCTCCGCCCCTTTCCCCACAGGAAGGCGGCCTCCGACTGGTGCGCACGCGCCGCGGTGAGGGGCGGGGCCTCGCGGCTCCCGGCGCTGGCTCTCGCGAGAGGCCGGCCCGCGATCTCGTCGCTCCCCCTCCCTGCCTTCGGCCTCCCGGGCTCCGGCTGCAGCGTCAGCCTCGGACGGGCCTCCTCGGCTGCGGCGGCGGCTCCTCGGCCTCAGCGCCGGAGCCCCTCGGCGCCCCTCGGCCCGGTCCGCAGCGACGCCTCCGTTCGCCGCCCCGGCGCCCGCCTAGGCCGCAGCCGCAGCCCCGGGCTCGCGTCGGCGCCGCCCGCTCCCGGCCCGCCCCCTATGGGCCCCGGCTAGAGGTGCCGCCGCCGCCGGCCCGCGGAGCCCCGATGCTGGCCCGGAGGAAGCCGGTGCTGCCGGCGCTCACTATCAACCCCGCCATCGCCGAGGGCCCGTCCCCCACCAGCGAGGGCGCCTCCGAGTGAGTGGGCCGGGCTTGGCCGGGGTGAGGAAGGGGAGGGGGTGCCTGAGTAATGAGGTCGGTCGGAGGGGGACACCTGAGAGGAGAAGATGCAGTGAGTGCTGAGGGGGGTGCAGGGGGTCCCTGAGTGGAGGGGTTGGGGTGGGGGCCCTGAGTGCTGACGTCAGGGCAGGGGGTCCCTGAGTGGTGAGGGGGGTGCAGGGGGTCCCTGAGTGGAGGGGATGGGGTGGGGGCCCTGAGTGGAGGGGATGGGGTGGGAGGCCCTGAGTGCTGAGGTCAGGGCAGGGGGTCCCTGAGTGGTGAGGGGGGTGCAGGGGGTCTCTAAGTGGAGGGGATGGGGTGGGGGCCCTGAGTGGAGGGGATGGGGTGGGAGGCCCTGAGTGCTGACGTCAGGGCAGGGGGTCCCTGAGTGGTGAGGGGTGTGCAGGGGGTCCCTGAGTGGAGGGGATGGGGTGGGAGGCCCTGAGTGCTGAGGTCAGGGCAGGGGGTCCCTGAGTGGTGAGGGGGGTGCAGGGGGTCTCTAAGTGGAGGGGATGGGGTGGGGGCCCTGAGTGGTGAAGTCAGTGCAGGGGGTCCCTGAGTGCTGAGGTCAGGGCAGGGGGTCCCTGAGTGGAGGGGATGGGGTGGGGGCCCTGAGTGGTGAAGTCAGTGCAGGGGGTCCCTGAGTGCTGAGGTCAGGGCAGGGGGTCCCTGAGTTGTGAGGGGGGTCCAGGGGGGTCCCTGAATGGAGAGGATGGGGTGTGGGCCCTGAGTGGAGGGGGTGGGGTGGGGGCTCTGAGTGGCGAGGTCAGTGCAGGGGGTCCCTGAGTGGAGAGGATGGGGTGGGGGCCCTGAGGGCTGAGGTCAGGAGAAGGCGTCCTTGAGTGGTGTGGTCTTGGGGAGAGGGTCCCTGAGTGAAGAAGATGGGGTATGGGGGTCTCGAGGAGTGAAGTGGAGTTGAGGGAGGGTTCCTGACCAGAGAGGATGGGGGGAGGAGTCTTAGTGGTGAATCAAAACATGGAGAGGTTCCTGCAGGGAAAAGGTAGGAGGGAGGCCCCTGAATAGTGAGGTAGAGGGTGGATGGAGGTCCTTGCTTACCAAAGAATGGGGTGAAGGGGTTCCCAAGAGGAGAGGAATGGAGGGGGAGGGGTCCCTCCAGGAGAGGGCAGTTGAGGGCTCCCCGAAGGGTAAGATGAGCCAGGAGGCCCTGAGGGGAGAAGACTGGTGGAGGTGTCTCTAAGGGGACAGACAGGGCGAGGTGAGGCCCCAGAGTAGTGAGGTCAACTGCAGGATCCTGGTGGGGAGGGGAGAGGGAGCCTCTGGGGCTGGAGCCATGTAGGCACCTAAGCGAACTGGAGGACTTGCAGAAAGGGGCAGAAAGGAGCATCCGGGGTGGGGTCTCAAGATAGCAGAATCATATTGTGGGAGGGGTACGTGCTGGCCAGGTCCACCGAGAGTGACCCCTTGGCCCCAGAGCCAGTCCCAATGACCTCTGCACTCCTGTTCCCCACGCTCCAGAGGAGCAGGACCGATCCCGAGGCTTCTGGCTGGGATCTATTTGCTGTGATGCTGAAGAGCATGTATGTTGTGTCTTGGGGGGCTTGGCCCCTGTGTCCTGGGTGAGAGTCTTGATGCCTGTGTGTGACATGACACCTTTTTCTGTCTCTGAGCATGTGGCTTAATGTGGGGACGTGTTCCTTATATTCAAAGGTCCGCTGCCTATTCTAATCACAGGAGAGCACCTTCTTCATTCTCTCCCCTTTTCTCTTCCATGGCTTCTGATTTCCATTCCTTCCAGAACCCCCGGCAGAAAAAACCAGCCATTAGGATTCTAGGGTGTTGGTTTTTTTTTTTTTTTTTAATAACCACAGCTGAGTTGCTATTAAATTTAAAGTGGATTAATCAGCTGACTGTAGAATGCATCTTAGATATCACAGGGCAGTGTGAAGACGACTTTTGCAGAGTCTGGCCTTAAAAACTGCCTCTTCAACCCTTCAAGACGGAAGCGTGTCGTGTACATTTATTCCTTTGCCTTCCTTCTTCCGTCCTCCATCCCTTCCTCATCAGGTCTTTGTTAACCAGGCATTCAGGGAGCACCTAGTAGGCCCACGGTCCTGGCTCAGCGAGTTGCTACAGTGAACAGGGCTTTGGAATCAGGAAGGATGCAGGTTTGATTCCAGGCACTGCCACTTCCTTGCTTTGTGGCCCACGGGCAAGTTACTTAACCTCTCTGAGCCTGTTCCCTCCTGCATGGGCTGGGACTACAAGGTACATACCTCCCAGAAGGATCTTGAGAACGAAACAAGGTGGTGTTTGTAAAGCCCTGATACGTGCTCAGGAAGTGGCACCTGGCTACCTGCCTTCTAGTAGCTTTGCTATACCAGCTCAGATGACTTCCCTCCGCCAGCCACAGGTCATCTTGTATCCAGCCTGTGCCCCTTGCTCAAGCCTCTAAGTTCTAGGCTAGTTATGGTCAAATTTGAGGATCGAAAGGTGTCTGAGAGAGTTCCGTTCTTCCAGTTCTCCCCAGCAGGTCTCCCCCAGGTTGGGAGTCGGCCTTGGCTTAAATGCCTTCCGAAATCACTCACAGTCCTTTAGAGATGTTTCTTAGCTGCCCACCCTGTCTGGTCCCGTCACCCACCACCAGCACTCAGAATGTGGCTTGTCCAAATTCAGGGGACCTGTAAGTGTAATATGCGTTTCAGATTCTGTAGCCTTTATATGAAAAAAAAAAATAGAAGAAAAGTGTTTATTGGGATCCCTGGGTGGCGCAGCGGTTTGGCGCCTGCCTTTGGCCCAGGGCGCGATCCTAGAGACCCAGGATCGAATCCCATATCGGGCTCCCGGTGCATGGAGCCTGCTTCTCACTCTGCCTGTGTCTCTGCCTCTCTCTCTCTCTCTCTGTGACTATCATAAAATAAAAATAATAAAAAAGAAAAGTTTATTAATTTGGTTATGTTGATTTCATGTTGAAATTTATATTTTTGGGGGATCCCTGGGTGGTGCAGCGGTTTGGCGCCCGCCTTTGGCCCAGGGCGCGATCCTGGAGACCCGGGATCGAATCCCACGTCGGGCTTCCGGTGCATGGAGCCTGCTTCTCCCTCTGCCTGTGTCTCTGCCTCTCTCTCTCTCATTCTGTGTGACTATCATAAATTAAAAAAAAAAAAATTGAAATTTATATTTTTGGTGGGTGAAATTGAGTATGTTAAAACTAATTTCACCTGACACATCTTTTGTAATGTGTGTAGAAAAAATTTAATTGCACACATGTTTTAAAAAGTTGCACACATGACTTTTATTCTATTTCTTTTGGGGAGCACTGGGTTAGTCCTGTGTGCATTGAGCTAATGTTGCCCACCTGTTACCGGGAGCTGCTTTTGACTCAAGGATTTGATTCAAAATCAAGACATTAGTGAAAATAGCTTATTGTCAAAATTCCTTGGAAAATCCCTCAAATCACCCAGTGAAGTACAGTGTACATGGTTGGTTTTGGGTTTTTTTTTGGGGGGGGTATTTATTTACAAGGGAGAGTGTGCATGAGGTTGGAGGGTCTGGAGGCTGGAGGGGAGGGAGAAAGAAGCAGGGAGAGGGAGCGAGAACCCCAAGCAGACACGGCACTGAGCATGGAACCCCTATGGGGCCTGGTCTCACAACCCCAAGATCATGACCTGAGCTGAAACCAGGAATCAGATGTTCAACTGACTGTGCCACCCAGGTTCTCCTGGTTGGTTTTTTAAATGACCAGCTCCAGGAATGTTTGTGCATGTAAATGCATAATGTTTAGAGTAGTAGCATAACAGCATGCTGGCTGAGCAGCATACCCTGGAAACGTCTGCACTGTTTACTTCATGCCCCTCTTCATTTCCCCTCAAGTGCCCATGTGTCATCTGTGTACATTAAAGGCACTCATCCTGCAATTTCTGTCTTCTGCCTGTGGTTTTTGCTCTTGGCCCTGAGACCGCTCAGAACAAGTTGGCTCCTCTGTCCCAGCCTAAGCCTTCCCTCACCTGACCCTTGGCTCTGCCGCCCCTGTTCCTGCGTCTCCTTAAGATATGATCTGGAGTGCTTATGTCAGGAACGGGGACTCCTGGGTCTGCGACTAGGATCACTGAACCAGAGCCGGTCCTGAGGAAAGGGGTGATGTCCTCAGCATAGGACTCAGATCTGATGCACCCCCATGTCCTTCCAGTCACACATCTGGGGCCCAGCCTGCGGTGGCCTCACCATAAGCTTGGCTGGGCCCAGTCATCTTCCCATAGCCTGCACATTCCTTACTAGCCTTTGCCCTTGGGGTCTTTGCAGAGCAAACTTGGTGGACCTCCAGAAGAAGCTAGCAGAGCTAGAACTTGACGAGCAGCAGAAGAAGCGACTGGAAGCCTTCCTCACCCAGAAGGCCAAGGTCGGGGAACTCAAGGATGATGACTTCGAACGGATCTCAGAGCTGGGAGCCGGGAACGGCGGGGTGGTCACCAAGGTCCAGCACAGACCTTCTGGCCTCATCATGGCGAGAAAGGTGAGAGGTGGTCAGCGAGGGCGTGCACTTCATCCTTGCGCTCCACAGCGGTGTGTGGTGGGGCAGGACCCCTGGAAATAGGAGAGGGGTTTGAAAGGTGCAGGCCTGTGCTTTCTGATTGGCTCCTGGGCTTGGAGGGCTCAGGCACTCACCCGTCCTCAGGAAGAGCTGGTGTCTGGCTAGGACACACAGCAGTGCCCGCCCACCTCGAGCAGCTCTTCCCTTCAGTTACTGACTTCTGCCTTTCAGGTCTTAAACTCCCATTCTCAGAAATGTCAAGAGTGTTTCAGGCTCGCTCCCCCTTTGGGCTCCCAGCTAAGTGGTCAAGAATCCTCCCTGTGAGATGTAGGGGCGGGGAGGAGGAGGATGTGACCCTTGGGGATAGTGGCTCCTCCCCACATAATCAGGGGACGTTCTGTGACTATTCAGCTCAGGGATCCCTGGGTGGCGCAGCGGTTTAGCGCCTGCCTTTGGCTCAGGGCGCGATCCTGGAGACCCGGGATCGAATCCCACATCAGGCTCCCGGTGCATGGAGCCTGCTTCTCCCTCTGCCTATGTCTCTGCCTCTCTCTCTCTCTGTATGACTATCATAAATAAAAAAAAAAATAGAAAAAAGAAAACTATTTAGTTATTCAGCTCATACAGGCATGTTCTCTTAGGCATAGAAAGCCACCTTTTTCTGGAAGCCCATCCTCCTGGAGTTCCACTTGGTGTTCTCAGAAACGCAGCCGCCCCGTGCCCAGGTGGCGTGCACTGCCCTGCCTTTCCTGGGAGCGCCGTGCTCGCTCTCCACCAGGACTTAGCGCTGCAGTGCCTTCCCTCCTGGGACCTGGTTGTGTCCCCTTTTGTGTCCCCTTCTCACAGGCAGCTTTTCCTAAATTGGAGTTGCCCCAGAAATCTCTGGTCTGGCATCACCCCGCAAATAGGGAATAACCAGGCAGGCATGAGAATCAGTGGGGGGTGGGGGTGGGGCTGCAAGCAGAGCACTGGCCCAAGTTGGCATCGGGGACCTAGGAGTGTCCCCACCCAGCTGAGCCTTCACCCGGGGGACACCAGCGTGCCTTGTAAGTGTGACTTCGAGGGCTGCTCCACAGCGATGTGGGAGCCTTTGAGGTCAACTTTGGGAGTTTAAACCCGGGGCCCTAGGCTAGTCCTGCCACCCAGTTGTGATGCAGCCCCGACGTGAGTCTCCAGGTTTTCACACTGTCCTTCAGGTGGGTGAGACCTCTGCCGTCGGGCAGCGGGTAGAGGCTGCACGGGACACTGCCGGTTTTACAGCTTTCCCATACTTCCACAAGCCCTCACAATAAAGAGCTAAAAGAGAGTAGGTCCGAGGTACTGGGGAGAAGGCCCCCCAGGTTTGTTCTCCGTGGATGCTAAGTGCCGTCGTCGTGTGTGCCCTGAGTGGCCACACGCCTGGCACAGTGTGGGTGTGCGTGTGGGACAGACCCATGCCCGCGAGCATTTGGTGGACAACACTGACCGAGAAGGCTGGCTGCCTGGCCGTCGTACTGCTCAGGGCTGTGCCTATGTGATGGCCCAGGGGCCCTGGGCTGGTCCACGGGGGTCAGGGGCTGCCTACCTTCCATCTGGAATGCCAGTTCCCCCACGAGGCCACAGATGTGGACACAGATGGGAAATTGACATGGCAAAGTGGTTTTTGCGAAACTGGCTTCCTAGTCCCCTGGAGGGATCCTGCATTCCCAGGTGCAGGGTATGGATTCCGTGCTTTCCTAGTGCATAAGCTTATCAGATCTCCAAATACAGCCTGCCTGCAGGGTGGAGGTTGGGGGCTGAGGTGGTCCTTTTCTGGGGGCTGGCACCCTTTGTCGCCAGCATCCTGGCAGCCCCTTCCATCAGCAGAGGATTTTCTTAACCCGAATGAGCTGTAGGGAGAGCACGGAGGCCAGTTATGTAAGCCCCAAGTGAACTGGTCTCGATTTTTATAATCACACTTGATTGTAAATGTTTCCATGACTTGAGCATGGTGTTCGGACTCCGCCTGTGTCCTTCTGAGAGCCCAAGCAGCATTACCTGGGCCAAGAGAGATGTATGATGAATTTAGCATGTTTGTTACACACGTGCCTTCCTGGAGAGGAGGGAGTCTGGGCCTCCGGTTTGTGCGGGCCTTGAGCGCCTGCCTCTACGATGGAGGTTGCGTGACCTGTGCAAAGCCGTGTCGTGCTTCTGGCTGCCATCCTTCACGTGATTGCTCTGTGTCAGAGCCAGTGTCACATTGTGGCTTCAGCTCCATTTTAAACACGAGAAAACAGGCAGGTTGGGTCGGCATCTGAAGTGGGTTTGAACCCTCTCGTGTCTTTCCTTTGCAGTTTACTCGGACTTGATGGGAGCTGTCAGCATTTCACCTTCAGATTTTATTTCCCTCTTTTTCTAGTTTGTATTCCCCGCACTCCTCCCACCTGCAATTTTGTAGGAGAAATCCCCTTAAACTGCTAGATGGGCCTTTTTTTTTTTTTTAAGATTTTATTTATTTATTCATGAGAGACACAGAGAGAGAGGCAGAGACACACGCAGGGGGAGAAGCAGGCTCCCTGCAGGGAGCCCAATGTGGGACTCGATCCCAGGACTCCAGGATCACACCCTGAGCCGAAGGCAGGCGCCCAACCGCAGAGCCACCCAGGCATCTCCTAGATGGGCTTGATGTGGGGTTTGAATGCTTTGTGCCATCCCTTTGTAGCCAGCTCCAAGGAGTTTACGTGACCCCAGGGTGGTGACATGGAGGAAGCTTGGGTTTTGGTGTTCTGGGAGCCTGGCCCTGATGCAGACTTGACCACTCACCAGCCATGTGCCCCCTGAGAACAGGATTGAGCCTCTTGGGACCTGAACCTGCCCATCAGTGCCGTGGGGACAACTATTCTGTCCCCTCCAGATCTTTCATCAGGATGAAGCGTGAAGACGCATGCTCAGAAACATGCCTCTTGCTTCCCATGCCTGTCTTTTCTTCTCCATGTCCTCTCAAGGAGGCTCCTTGGTGATCTGGAAGGCTCTCTCCACAAGCCCAGAAAGAATGGGCCCGTGAGTCCCCGCGTCTTCTCTACTGCATCTTTCCAGAAAGCCTCAGATTTCTGTGGCCTTACGTCACATGAAAGGCCCCATCTCTGGGCTCCCATGACCTCTGGGTTTCTGTCCAGTTCTGCCCAGCCCACTCCTCTCCACCCCTTCCTCTTCTGCGGAGCCTGGGGGGTTCTTGCTCCCCAGCTCGGCTGTGGCTCCTGTGAAGTTCCTGGTCAAGAGCTGTACTGTTCGTGGCAGCTGCCCTGGTCAGCCATGTGCACGGAGCCCTTGAGATGTGGTCAGTCCAGCTGAGGTGTGCTGTTCGTGCAGAGAAACATGATGCCAAATTTCAAAGGCTCAGTATGGGAAAATCTCATGAATATTTTTATACGGATTACATGTTGAAACCGTAATTGTGTAATATATCTCATTGAGTTAAAATACATGAAAAAATCATTTCCCCTGTTTCCTTGTACATTTGTAATGCAGCAACTAGAGGATTTAAAATTAAACACAAGACCTGATTGTATTTCTGTTGGCTGGTGTTGGCCTTCACACCCTACATTGCCATCCATCAGGCTCCACAAGTTCTTCTTCTGGGCTTTTGGGAGCAGACCTTCTGCTTTCCGCATGGACAGCAGCACTTCATCTTTGGACCTAACATCTCCTGTGTGTGCCTGTTGGGCATCACGTCACAGGTGTGTCCCACCAGAGGAGAGGCCATCCTACCGGCATGGCCATAAAGGTGTGCAGTGCCTGGAGCCCGTGGCCAGAGCTCGCCTTGGCAGGTAGAGGCAGGAGCCTTTGCTAAGGAATCCAAGGAGCCCCAGGCACCGTCGCACTAGGCCTACTGCACTTTTTAAGGTGGCCGGGGTCATGAGCATGAGCCTGGCAGCCCCCCGCCTGAACTTGGTACTCACCCCTTTGTGCCTTCAGTCAGCTATTTGTTTCCCTGGCAGAACCCCCACCCCCACCACATCTGTCTGGCCGACTCCCACCTGTCCCTCTAGGCACGCAGCCCCTCCTACTCCCTTTCCCCATCACAGGGTTCTGATGAAATGTCTGTAGGATCTATGGCGACAGGTTCAGACACCCTGGATTCGACAGGCAGGTGGAAATCACTTTTTTCCTGTTCTGTTGCAATGGTCGGAGCAGCTGAGATTCTAAGTGGCCAGGACATGGAGCCACGGTCTCAACTCTTTCCTGTTGGGTATTGCTCTTGGCACTCTGTCAGCTGTCCTGCGTCCCTCCAGTCGTTTGGTTTCTCACTGTTGCTGCAGGTGACCATCCCCTCTGCTGACTTGAACTCCGGTGAAAGGAGACCTAGGATCCTCCTTGGGTGGCGGCCTGAGGCTCCCTCTGTGTCCTCTCTGGCTGGAAGGATAAGGGCTCCAGCAGCAGGCCCCTGGCTGAGAGGGCCCGAGGTCATGGGCATCGCTGGTGTGGGTCCTGAGAAAGGTGGTGCTTTGTATAGTTGGGTGGGAAGAGAATTCTGTTATCGGAGCTCCCTGGCAGCTAAGTGAAAATGTTTGTTCCATTGAGGTTTGTTTTAAAACAGCTTTGTTGAGATCTGGTGAACATACCCCTTTGTGCATACATATTTTTTTGGCCCTACCTTCCATCCCCCACTTACCCCTTTAAATATATGTAATTCAGTGAGTAGTATATTCACATAGCTGTGCAGCCGTCGCTACCATCTATTTTAGAACCTTCCATCTCCCTAAAACGCAACCCCATCCCCATCAGCAGTCACCCCCGGCCCCGCAAGTCCCTTCCCTGCCCGTGGACGAGCCTGTCCTGGACGTGTCACACATGTGGACTCTCGTATCGCAGGCCTCTGTGTCTGGTTCCCTCCCTGAGTGTCCTGTGTTCGGGGTCCATCCCCAGGGCAGCACGTGTGGGCGCCTCACCCATTCCTGGCAGAGTAGGGTGCCTGTGTATCTGTTCCCCTGTGGGTAGACACTTGGTGGCCTCCATACCTTGGCAGTTGTGAGTCCTGCTCCGTGAACGCTGGTGTGCAAGTTTGTGTGTAGACATGTCTTTTTTGTTCTCTAGGTAAATGCTTAGGAGGCAATTACTTAGTTTTGGTTGCTGTCTTGAGCACATCAAGGGCAGGGGCCAAAGCCCCCTCCTTCCTGGTGCCTGCAGCAAGCGGCCTGGTTGTGAGCCCCTCCCTTCCCTCTCCCTCGCAGCTGATCCACCTGGAAATCAAGCCGGCCATCCGGAACCAGATCATCCGCGAGCTGCAGGTGCTGCACGAGTGTAACTCCCCGTACATCGTGGGCTTCTACGGGGCCTTCTACAGCGACGGCGAGATCAGCATCTGCATGGAGCATATGGTGAGTGTGCCATGCCCTGGGCTGGTAGAGGGCTCCCTGCCCATCCCCTCCAAGCCCACATCCTCAGACGCACAGCACGCTCATTTCCAAGGGGTCCTTCTGGAGACACTCCATGCCCTGCAAGCACGCATACGCCTACATCCCTTGGTCTTCTAAGCACGAGACGTTCCCCTCCTTCCAACCTGGCCTCCCCCAGATAGGTGGTGGAAGCTGTTGCCTGCTGGCACGTGGGGAGCCGGCTTCATTTTCCTCACTGTTTGAGTTCTGGCCATGGCATGTGCCCATAAGGTACTTTATCAAACACTCTCTCGATGGTGGACACAGGTTGTTTACAGCCTGTTGGGAGTGACAGTGTGAGGAATGTCCTGGGGCGAGAGGTGGGCTAGGGTCCCGGGCGTCCTGGGCTGGGGTGGGAGGTGGGCTAGAGTCCCGAGTGTCCTGGGGCAGGAGATGAGCTAGGGTCCCAAAGGCGGAATTGCTGGGCCCTAGGGTATGTGTGGTTAAGACTTTGATGGCTCTGAAGGGAGGTAAGTGATCTGGGCGCTCTGTTGATGGCGAGACCCAACTTGGTGCCCCAGCTCGGGTCCATGGAATCAGAAGCTCCGGGATGGAACACAGGAGCCGATCTTGTCTCAGACTACCATGGTTGGTTCTGATGAGCCCCCTTGTTAAGAAACTGGTCTTGAACCTCAGAAATGGGTGGGATCCGGTGTAACAAAAGCAGAAGTGGTCAGAGCTGAGGGCCCAGGGAGGAAATGCTGCCGACCCTGTGCTGAGCCTGATTCATCAGGTACGGGGCGGCCTGCTGCCTGGCTGTCCAGGCCCCAGGCCCATTGGGGCCCTTGCAAAACCAGGATGCTGTGGCCTTAGGCTCGCAGCTTCGGTTACGCCTCGTAGGCGTGGCACTGTCCCCTCTGACAATTTTGTAACAGAGGCAGGAAGTGAATTTGAGCAAGTGCCCGTGAGACATCGTGACAGCCGCGTGGTGTAAGTCCGCGTGGTGTAACGGGGAGCCCCAGAGAAGGTGCTTCCCGCCCCCCCGCTCCGCCCCTACCTGGCCCCCCGCCCCACAGTGCCCTGCCTCAGACCATCCTCTGCTGCAGAGGGAGCGGGAGAGGTCAGACCCTGAATCCGCCACCCTGCAGGCAGTTACTGCCAGAGAACCTGGGGCAAGAAAGGACAGGGAGTCACTTTGTGGTCTAAGGCGAGCCGTCTGGGTCCTCTCCCTGTTCTCCCTGATGGCAGGGGGAGTTCGGAGCGGCCCCTTCTCTTGCACGAGAGGGGAGTGTCACAGCTGGCCGCCTTCTCCTGCTTCTCGTCTCAGGGAGCATGAAGTGAGGTTTTCCGCACGACACATCTGCACCCCACAGCACGAGGAGTGCCCAGTGGCCCCAGTTGTTGATTGTGCTCATTCTCTACAGATTCCTAGTTGGGGTTTTTGGGTTGCTCTTGTGTCGGGTGTGGGAGGGCCACGGAGCGAGCAGACGGCGCATCAGTGAAAAGATAGAATCAGGTGAGGTGTGTGCTCCACGCCGCCACAGAGACGGCTCCCCGTGCGCGGGGCTTGGGGGCCGCTGTTCTAGACTTGGGGATGAGCCTGCTCTTTGGGCAAGGAAGGGCTGAGGACAGCAAAACGATGTTAAGTAATGGGAGGGGGAGGCGGCCCGCACCCCACCATCCTCCATGATATTTTCAGGTCATGTAATCTGCTCCGGTGCCACGCCTCGTCCCCCGGGCATTCCCGTGTTTGCGGGACACACTTCTACATCGTTCATTCACGTGCCCTGTTGGGGTATGGGGTCAGGTGTCCACTGCACCACTCACCTCCTAACAGCATGACTTGGGACAAGGTTCTCCCTCCCCAACCCCGTAGAGCTGAGGGTGGTGGTGCCTGCTTCCCGGGGCCAGGATTGGGGTGCAGGGAGCCAATCTTCCGGTGACGCCTGGAGCAGTGAGCAGAGGGGAAGGCTTATCTCCACGTGGGTTTGGGTGTGAATCGGCTCTCATTTCCACCTGGGTAGACTCTAGCCCCGCTTGCCAGGGAAGACCCCTAGTTGGCGGTGGGCAGCGCAGATGGAACCTAGGGGGGTGAATGCACCTGGCCAGTACACGTTGGTGCCTGGGGCTTAGAGACAGCGGGCTGGTGGTTTCCCAAGGGTAAGGGGCTGTCACTGGGGCGACTCCTGGCATGGACCCCGCAGACAGTGGGTAGTGGGTGTCCCAGGGGGCAGCTTACTGACTGTTCAGAAGCACCTCTTGGTGTTTCCTGGAGTCCAGTCCCATCTGAAGCATGTGCTCCCTTGTACGATAGTGAAAAGTCACACGTCCGCCAGTGAGGGAGAGGTAAGAACCCTACCTGGCCACTTGGCAGAGGGAGAAAAATCCCCGAGGAGAAAATATGCATAATGTGAACCCACTTAGATACAATTTTTAAACTCCCGTGTATATTTCCTTGTGCATGTGGATGCCCATGCAAATACATAGAAGGATCTGGAAGTCACACTTCAGGGGAGGCAGGAAGAACTGCTGGGAGAGAGAGAGCACGTGTGTGAGCGGGGGACGGGGCAGAGGGAGAGTCTCAAGCAGACTCCAAGCTGAGCAGAGCCCAACACGAGGCTCGATATCAGGACCCTGAGAGCATGACCTGAGCCAAAACCGAGAGTCGGACGCTTAACCACTTGAGCCACCCAGGCGCCCCTAGAGTTGAGTTTCTTTATAAAAAGATACTCATATACCACTTACTTCAAAGTGCAATTTCCAGAATATTTAGAGCACATACACAAAATGAAAGTGTGTGACACTCCGCACAGCGTGAGATTTGGGGTCGGAGGGACCCAGTGGTGCTATCTTCTGCACCACTTCCTGTCAGTGTGACTTGAGCAATTTACACTCCTCCTCATGTGGACTAGGGGGTCTCATCCGGAAATGATCCTACCCCAGGGGACACTGGGCCGTGTCTGGGGACATCTGTGGTTGGCAGGAGTGGTGCAGGGGGCAGAGCAGCCATAGAGAGAACAGAACTGTCCGCCCACCGGGCGTTTCAGCTAACTGGCGAGGTTCCCACGCGGGGCCTGGCCTGCCCTGGCCTCTCTGGGGATGTTCTCCCCCAACATCCTCGTTTATAAACCTACCACAGCTCCATAAAGGTTCAGAACGAGAGGAGCTGTGTTGGGAGGCAGGGTTATAGTCTTAAAAGAATTTGTTTGTATTCTTTAAAGGTTGCTTGACATTTTGAGCAAAAAACAGGAAGGATAGAAGGAACTCCCCCTGGTCCTGCAGGCAGAACTGGGCTGAGCCAGGATACCTGGTCCCGTGGGTTTCTCCCGGGCACAGTCACCCTCTCTGTGGGTCTTGCACCCTTAGTCTGGAAGTAGTTGAGAGAGTCATGTGCAGGTTGTAGAAGCTTCAAAGAGTGTTGGGTTTTCTAGAACTCCCACCCATGGCCGTTTCAACTGAGCAAGGCTGGGAGACGGGAGTCCCAGCATCCCGGGGCCTTCAGGCTTCCCCACCCCCTCCTGTGGCAGCCTGGAGCAGCCTGGTAGAGAAAGCACCTTCTCCGCAGCTGCCCAGCCGTGAGTTCAGATGTTGGCCCGTGGTTGGAACTCCGCGTGTCCACCTAGCGTCTTGGGGGACCCAGCAGGGACCCCTGCCTGGGTTTGATCTCCAAGTTGACTGTCAGGTGCCCCGTGGACTTGAGGCCAGCCTGGCATGGGGAGCTGCCGGGGAGGACACGTGTCCTGTCCTTTGCAGGACGTGCCTGTGCACAGTGACAAGCACAGGGCAAGACCTAAGGGACAGGGGCAGGGGAGCAGGGAGTGGGCAGTGGCGGTTCCAGGCCTCACCTCCGGGCTCTCTGTCTCTGTTCCACCGAGGCTGCCACAGGCTAGCAGGAGTAGAACCCAGGCCCCAGGAGCCTGCGGTCGAGCTCTGGCACCTTCGCGGTTGCTCTGGTTGCAAGCCTGGCGACGCTGCTCCGCCTGCTGCTGCCATGGCAACCTGGGGAAGGGGCAGCTGAGTCACGGCGGGGGTTCCTGGAAGGCAGGGCTGCCTGGGGAGCGCGCTGGCACCCTGGTTGCTTCCTTACTGGATGGGCCCTCCCGAGGTCCTGGAGGTGGCAGGGGCTGAAGGAGGCCCCACTCTGAGCCAGCGGGGGGCATTTGGCTGTGGTCTGGCCTCTATTTCCTGTGGAGGAAATTGAGCTCCAGCTCACCGGGAACTGGGGAAATGCTTCACTCTCATACCTGCTGTTCTGCGTCCCTCTGGGAATCCTTCTTTGCACTGTGGGCCCTGCCTGGCCGACTGCTCAGCATGGCTTGCCTTTTCTCTTCTGTGCTGACCCTAGGATGGCGGCTCTCTGGACCAGGTGTTGAAGGAAGCCAAGAGAATCCCTGAGGAGATCCTGGGGAAGGTTAGCATTGCGGTAAGTGTGCGGGCTCCGGCTCCCCCGCGGGCCACTGCCACACTGGGCTGTGTGCACAATCCTGGCCCCGTGCTCTCTGTGGGTTTATTCTTAATCTGCCCCCTTACACCTTACATGTGGCCAGAGTTGGACAAACCGCTGGAACCAGGTGGTGTGGCCCATGCCCTTCTCTGCAACTGCGGGGCTGGCAAGGGGCATCTCTGTAAAATGCACATGATACTTCCCTGCCCCTATAGGGTCTCAGCCACATGGTATCTCACAGTGCTGTCATCACTTACGGGGCCTCACCATAAACCCAGCATGGAAGCATTAGACAGACAAAGCCTGTTGGGCTTGTGTGACCCTCAGGGCAGGGCAACCGGGTTGTACACCCCCAGCCCTCCTGGACCCTGGGCCGGAGCCTGGGCCTGGCCCTGGCCCAGTCCCTGCTGAGTGTCTGCCTGGCAGGTGGGCAGTGGGTGAGGGTGGGTGAGCCGGGCATCTGCCCGCAGGCCTGGGACACTATGGCCGTCCCTGCCACTCTCACCTCCGTCCCTCAACATGGGGGCTCCCTGAACTCGTGCCAGACAAGCAGCCCCTCAGGTCTGCCTGGGTCGCTGCCCTGCTGACCCATCTCTGGGGCTCCCCCGCAGGTTCTCCGGGGTTTGGCGTATCTCCGGGAGAAGCACCAGATCATGCACCGAGGTGAGCCGGGTGGGGGCACCTAAGGGTCGAGTGGGGCTGGCAGGCAGGCCAGGCCCCCCTCACCTGCAGCTGCCTCTGCCCTCAGACGTGAAACCATCCAACATCCTCGTCAACTCCCGAGGGGAGATTAAGCTGTGTGATTTTGGGGTGAGCGGCCAGCTCATCGACTCCATGGCCAACTCCTTCGTGGGAACTCGGTCCTACATGTCTGTGAGTCCGTCTGTACCCTACCCTGTCCTGTCAGCACTTCCCTGTTTTCCAGAAGATTTTGCAAAGCTTGAGGTTCTCCCAAATACACCGTGTTTCTGCAGAGCTTCTCCTTTCCGTCCAAATTCTAGCAGCGGTTGTCTCCTTGATCAGGGTTTTCGCTGGAAATGCCTGGTTGCTTTCTGCCAGCAGTAAGAGATGGGTCCAGGAGAGCGGTCAGTTAGTTTCTGAGCCAAGAGACTACCCCTCAGGTATCTCAGGAAACGTCTTGGTGATCCCAGGAGCGGACTCTGAGAAGTTAGTTTTTTGGACTATTTTGGAAAAAGAGGCATTCCGCTGTCTTTCCTGGGTTGGTCATCCTTTTCCAAAAGTGCAAAAGATTTGGGTGTTGAGCGCTGTTGTCAGTGCTGGCTGGGAGCTTCGCTGCCCCACAGCAGGTGCAGGGAGAAGATGGAGTTGCTTTCTTTCCGTTGCCGGGTCTCTAGAGGGCGGCATGGGCCAGGATGGAGCTGCAGGGGGAACAGTGTTGGTGGCAGGATGGCCAGGGACCCCGTGAGAGCTCCTGATGGAAGCCCCAGGTCCCAGCCACCATCCGGGCATTTCTTTGCTCTTTCTCGCTGACAGCCAGAGCGGTTGCAGGGCACTCATTACTCAGTGCAGTCGGACATCTGGAGCATGGGCCTGTCCCTGGTGGAGCTGTCCATTGGAAGGTACCCCATCCCGCCACCAGATGCCAAGGAGCTAGAGGCCATCTTCGGCCGGCCCATGGTTGACGGGATAGAAGGAGAGCCTCACAGCATCTCACCACGGCCGAGACCCCCTGGACGCCCCATCAGCGGTATGGCCTGAATCTGGAACTTAGCATTTGGACAAGCAGTGATGCCCATGTGGGGAATGCAGTGCCCGAGGGTGGCAGCTGCCTCCCCTCTGGCCCCTCTCAGCACCACCTGTCCCCTGGGTCACGCCGGCTGTGGTCAGCAGTCCGCAGATGGTCCCGAGGCTTCTGGGGACAGTTCCCCAAACCGGTGCCGTTCAAGGCAGCTGCGTGTGTCGTGGCCAGCTGGGGTGGGGGGGTGGGGGCGGTTCTGGAGAGAACTCAGCCGAGCCACTGGTTGGGTGGGTTTTCCAACATTTTATCACTGAAATGTTCAAACGTAGAGATTGGCCTGCAAGGATTGCCCGGCGAGCCACCCGTATGCCCACCGCCTGGACCCTGCAGCTAACGTTCTGCTGTTTGAGCCGGGCCTTTCAGAAACTGAAACTAACTTGTCTCAGTTTCCTCTCAGTGAGAGGGGACGAAGGCTGGGGGACCCCGGGGGTCACCTGGGCTCCCAGAGGACTCTCCATGCCTGCAGTGGTCCCCTGGGAGGTGTGGGGCTCCCCAGGGGACCCCTGAACCAGAGGGGTTCAGGCTGACCCTCTGACCATCTTGGAGGTGGGGGCGGGGAAGGGTTATGGCGGGGGCAGCATAACTAGGAAGCGGCGCTGAAGATTCTGATTTCTTTAAGTCAAGTGACAGGAAGGGAGTTGAGTTGAGTCTGAAGGAATGTGCAGCGGAGTGCGGTCGGGCTGCGCTTGTCTGATACCAGCTTTACTGAGACCGACTTCGTGCTCCCCGGGACTCGCTTGTGAAAGGCGTACAATTCAGTGGAATTGTGTATCTTCACAAGGTTGTGCCAGCATAACCGCTGTCTAGTTCCCGAATGTTCTCATCACCCCAAAAGGAAGCCCCATCCCTGTTAGTCGTCACTCCCCCTCCTCCCTGGCCCCCATGAACCCCCTTCCCATTCGTGGAGGAGCCTGTCCTGGACGTGTCACACACGTGGACTCCCACCCCGTGGGGCCTGCTGTGTCTGGTTCCCTCCCTGAGTGTCATGAGCTCGGGGTCCGTCCCCCGGGCGGCGTGGGTGCCTCGCCTTTGTCCGTGGCCATGTAGTCCCGTTTGTGGTGGTCCGTGTTATGTTATGTGTCTTCACCGCTGATGGACACAGGCCATCAAGTAATTGCACTTACGGTATTTTCAAGTCTAGCTCCTCTTTCCCTGGTGCCAGACCGACATTGCTGGGGTGTCTTGATTTTCTCTGAGGGGAGAACCCCACCCCCACCCCCATCCATGTCCTCGGGCCCTGGCTCTGTCCCTCCCAGCACCAACTCCCAGATGGCATCACGGGTGTTCAGCTGCGGCCCCATCCCAGCAGGGAGGAGTGGCGGGCCATGCCAGGCCACCTTTGCCTGCCAGCACCTCCCCCAGCCCCGGCCTGCATGCCCATTTCAGGACAGGGGACAGAAGGCGAAAGTCCAGCTGCCAAACCTGGCCCTGGCCAGCTGGGTCGAAGACAGGGGTCAACTCCCCTAGCCAGTCGTCCATTCTGGGCAGCATTTGGGGCCTGATGCTGCTTCACCCGCAGCTCCCTGCAAGGTCATGCTGCCGTCCTTGCTCTTGGTCAGCACCACCCCCCACACCCTGCCTGTGCGCCAGAAACCAGGGGTTGTGACTTTGGCACAGCCTGGAAGCAGCATCGTGCCAAATGTGTGACTTCTCAAAAAATGCTCCTGTTCATTTTGGTGTTTTGTTTTGTTTTGTTTAATTCACCGGAGGCTCAGAAAGAATCTGGTTTCCCAAGAAAGCAAGTTCCATAGCAAGGAGCCCGGCCAGGGCACCTCCCCTGGTTTGGGCCCGCTTTGGGGGAAGGGTACTCGGCGACGCCCGCCTCATCCCTGTTTTTGTCTCTGCCCTGGCAGGTCATGGGACGGACAGCCGGCCAGCTATGGCCATCTTCGAGCTGCTGGACTATATTGTGAATGAGGTGCGTACCCGAAGCCCCTCTGGCACGTCTTCACACGGGCGGATTAAGCTCTTCAACTTGAAATTCCTTACCCAAAGGAAGGGAATTCCACACAGGGACTGGGTTCTCTTGGGAAGGGGTGGAGGGCGGGACAGGGACCTCTATCAGGTGTCGAAGTGTGTGGCCTTCCGCCCTACTGCTCAGGTCCCCCACTCTCCAGGAGGAGTTTATGCCCCCATATAGCATGTGTGTGTGTGTGTGTCGGGGTGTGTAAAGACAAACCTGATGTTCCTGCCATAGCCCCTCCAAAGGCTGTGGCCCCGGAGCCAGCCCGCCAGCCCTCCCCAGAGCTGTCACCTGGTAGCTCTCTGAGCTTCTTGGAGCCCGTGTGGTCCTGAGTGATCCGCTGCCTCAGGGAAAGTTCAGGGAAGGAGGCACGGAGGGCCCACCAGATCGTCCTCCCCTCCGTGTGAGCAGCTAGTGGGACTTGTACAGACGAGTAAGCTGCAGCTGAAGGATGGGAGCGGCCTCCTCAGGCGGCAGCTGGAAAGGAGCAGAGCGGGCCCTGACCCCACAGCCCGCCTCTCAGGTTCTGTGGGCTGAAGAGTGCCTGCGGTGGCCCTTTGGAATCAGGGCAGAGAAATGGGGCGGCCGGGCTGCCCGTGGCACTGGCTTGTTGTGGGGCTCAGTGTTGAGGTGAGCGGCTCAGAGCAGGGCTGGTGATGACAGAACAGGACGGGCTGGCTCTGGTGACACAGCGTGCCCTGCACCTGGCTGCCACACCTAGGCCCGGCAAGCACGTCCTCCCGGGGAGCCTGCCGGCACCTCCCACCCCCAAATGGGAGGAAGGCTCTGGGTTTCACCGGGCAGTCTGCCCGCTGCCTCCCCTGACAAGGGCCTGACCCTGCACACAGCTGTCCCCACCCTGGCACATGTGTTCTGGGCCAGGCTGCTCGCGCTTCTGGAGCTAGCTGCCCCACCCCCCACCCCACCCCCCAGTGCTCCAGAACCCCAGCTGGAGACAGTGGCCCAGAGTGTGACACGTCCCTAAAGTGAGGCTGGGCCCTGTTCTCCTTCCTCCTGGAACCAGCTATGATCCCGAAACCAGAGCTTTCCATAGAACCCCGAAGACCCTAACCAAGTTGGCAAGGCAGGTGACAGGGCCTGCAGGAAAGCTGCCAGAAGGTGAGGGGTGGGGGGTGCCCCCTCTAGCCAGGTGAAGGGACTGGGGCCAGGAAAGTTGCCTTCTGAGGGCCCCCAAAAAGTGCTGTGCTGTTCTCATGGGTTCAGGGCCAGGAAGCACCTTTTCCCTGTGATTCTCCAACCGCCCTTGAGCATCTGACCCCCACCCCTTTGCTGTCTCCCACAGCCGCCTCCCAAGCTGCCCAGTGGTGTCTTCACCCAGGACTTCCAGGAGTTTGTAAATAAATGGTAAGGTGCCACCACCTCCAACACGGTCTCGGGGCGGGCCAGGGCAGGGTGCCAGGCCATCGGAGGCCCGCCTGCCTCCTGGGATAGCTGCCCACACCCCGGCTGCCGACCCAGAGGCAAACTTCCTTCTTGGTCCCGGGCTCGATCGACGGTGGGACTGCCGGTGGGTAGAGGCATCTGGGGAACACCTGGAGCTCACCTGAGAACCTGGGTAGTCGTGGTGTGCAGCTCCTGTCCCCCATCTTGTCCTCAAAGCCCAGAACAAACCAGAATTTCAGATCTTTGGAAATGCCATACCCGCCTTGCCTTCCACCAGCAGCCATCCCGGTTTCCTAATCCCTCAGCCCTGTAACCCACCAGTGTCCAAACAAGCTTTTCATGTCGGGTTCTGGCAAGTGGCCAGCTGTTCTTGATACATCAGCATGGGCCCGGGGCGAGCAGGCCCAGGACCAGGAAGGCCGCCCCCCTCACCGTGAGGGCAGTCCTGCGCGGCAGGACGGGTGGAGTCGGCCAGCCTCGCTGCTGCCTGGGGACTGCATCACACAGCAGCAAACCTGCTCCTGGCGGTGAAGGCACCACCGGCCCTTTGCACAACCGCTGGCCAGCATGCTGCCGCAGAAACCCAATCATCTGTGTAAATGTTTTCCTACCCGTTGCGTTTTTGTTTGCATCTGAACGGCCACTGTTTGTCCTCAGGCCAGTTTAAGCAACTGTCTTTAGGGGCAGTTCTGCTTTTTTATGAGGGGAAAAGTTCCATTTTGACACACTCCCAAATTGGGGGGATTTATTAGCAGTGTGGCTGTGGTTGGCTCTAGGCCTCAGACTGAGCAGCGGCCAGGGTGTCTCCACAGCCTTTGCCCTTCCCTCTTGTCCTGGTTGCCGACCCTTGCCCTTCCCTCCCCAGGAGTCTTGGTCTTACACCAAAGGAGTAACAGAGCAGATTCTGTTCCCTGCTGCATCCAGATCCAGATAGGCCAGGCACGGGGACTGGGCTGGCCTATTATGGCTCAAAGCACAAGTTCCCGTGGCCGCTGACTAACTGCCCTGCCTTGTCTCCCTCGTTCTCTGTCTTCCTCTCCAGCCTAATAAAGAACCCAGCAGAGCGAGCAGATCTGAAGATGCTCATGGTAAGTGATCCTGGGGGGCCCTGGCTCACCTCGGGGGGAGGGCAGACCGGAGCCAGCCTTTGAGCGGGCTCGGCCTCCTGGGGCGCGTGTCGAGCTGGAGAGCCCCGGTGGTGTCCCGACTCCATTAGTGGGGTGGTCTAGAGCAGCCGGGGCACCGTTGGTACGGAACAGCCCTGGCCGTGCCTGCGGCCAGGGCTGTTATTGGGAGTGGTGGCACCCTAAGACCTCTGTGCCGCTCCTGCCTCGAGCACGGGGGCCCGCAGGTCAGGGAGACCCAGGGCCCGCCAGCCTGCCTGTGAGTCCATGCTGTCTGATGCCCTTGAGAGCAAGGTGGGCGTCGGAGCTGCCTTTCCCCAGCAGGTGGGGGCGGGCTGCAAGCCTGTTGACGTGTGGCCTCAGTGGGCCAGGCACGTTCAGCGCCCTCCACTGCCAGCTCTCCTCACCCACACCCCTGCCACGCCTGGGGCAGCCCGCCCTTCACATGCCTCCCCACACGAGACCGTGCCCGTGACAGTCACAGGTGCCGGCTCTCCGTGTCAGGCGTCCGAGCATCAGAACAAGAGCCCCTATTCACTGTTGGGACACGGTCTTTCCAGGAGGGAGCCTCCAGCTCGGGGCCTCTGCAAAGGACAGCCCTCCCCAGGGGACACGTGCCGGGCTCCTCGCCGCTGGCGTGTCTCCAGCCTGAGGTCACAGCGTCAGCGCCTCCCTTAGTTTCAGGGATAGCCAGCATCTCCTGGTTGCGGGCGCCACCAAGAACACCGTGTGGGAAGGGTTGGTGTGCCCTGGTTCTTCCAAGAGTCTTCGTCAGCTGTAGGGAGTTTCTAGTCTGTGTGTTAGAGCCGCACATGACGTCACAGGTGCACGCTCATTGTGTGATATACAAATCTGTGACCTAGAGAAGGTCCTCGATGCTGAAGGCCCCGTGCGGCCCCCAAGTCTCTGCCCCACCTAAACCGACGTTGTAAGTGGCCCCGCTGCGGCCCCAGACCATGGAGTCCTGCCCCCCCCCGCCCCGTCCGGTTGTCCCCAAGCCTGGGAGTCTCATGGGGGACGAGACCTCCTCCCGTGGACCCAAGCCCCCGTCCCGCCTGTCCCCTGCACACCCTGTGGGGACAGCATTGCTCACTCCCCCAGCCTCAGGCCAGGAACCTCCGGCGCACTGCTGTCCCCACGGGAACTCTGTTGGTGACTTAAAACGAAACAGAACGTAGGCTCCTGTTCTTCAGCCACAGGAGCCATATGTCACAGGCTTGGGAGCCTCACGTGGCCAGTGGCTGCCGCAGCAGACAGAACAGCAAGAGCTTACTGGCATCACGGAGGCTTCTGTTCAGATCGGATGCTCTTGCTGGGGCGACTGTCCCCTGGGGCCCCGGGCAGGGGCGGTGCATGTTTGGAGACATTTGTGGGCTTCACGATGGTGGCACTCTTGGCATCATGGGGATGGGGCCGGGGATGCTGCTCGACCCCCAGACAGTGACCTGGGCCCGACGAGTGCAAGGTAGCCTCTGGCTCTGGCTTCCTGTGCGCCGCGCACCCGCCGGCCATCCTCCTTGCTGCAGGCGCTGCCGGCCGGTCGTTGACGCACCTGTCCTCTCCTTGCAGAGCCACACGTTCATCAAGCGGTCCGAGGTGGAAGAGGTGGATTTTGCCGGCTGGTTGTGTAAAACGCTGCGGCTGAACCAGCCCAGCACGCCCACGCGCACCGCCGTGTGACGGGGTCCCGCGGGTGACCTGTCCGCCGTCCCACCTGCGCCCCGCCCCTCCCGCCCAGGACAGGCCAGCGCCTCCTCTCCCCACCCCAGCCTCTCCTTCTGCCTTCCGCGGAGCTGCCCGCATACCCCGCGGTGGACACTGAGCCCCGCTCCCGCCTGTCCCAACTGGTGTGGCCTCCGGTCCCCAGGGCGGGTGACGCTGCTCGCGGGGTCTTCTCAGACCTGCTTACTTAGGTTTCAAACAAAACAGGGAAAGAAAAAGCAAACTGTGCCCGTTGTACTTGGCGTTCCCTTTGTTCTGGGGGTCGGTCTCTGGTGCAGCCCCGGGGGGTTATTAGCGGGGCAGTAGGGGACACCGCAGTCTCCAGGGGAGGCAGCCTCAGAGGGAGCCTCGTGCTCCTGCGTGTCGTCCCCCTCGTCCGACATCCGCCCGTGGAGGTGGTCATGGGGTCCACTTCCTCCCCCTTCCCCTACCTCTTGTCACGCCGCTGACCCACCTGCCCCCAGGAGGGACCCGCTCAGCGCCTCCTGGGCTTCAGGGAACAGACTCTTCTGGCTCTTGACGGCAGCAGCCGAGCCGACGGTGGCAGAAGGAAGTGGCGGGCTTCCCAGCTGTCGGTGTGGCTGAGGAGCCTCGCAGATCCAGCAGAGGAGGCCTGCGCTGTCCCCATGCCCGCAGGCCGCACATGTGGGCAGGTGGCTCCCTGTGTCGCCTCTGCTTGCCCAGGGGATCGGAAGTGACTGCCCAGGCCACGTCCCTCAGGCCCTCGCAGGCCCGCCGCAGCTGCTGGGAGAGGGGAGGGGTCCTGTGTCCGACGGGAGGCACATGCACACGGCTCAAGCCCCGGGCCCGGCCGCCCTGCCCGGAGGGAGAGCAGGGCCGCTTCTGAGGCTTCCCCTCGCCCCCCTCCAAGCTCTGAAGACGGCAAGGCTGGGGGCCGCCCCCCTAGGCACTGTGACGGCTCTCGGGTCCCAGCTGCTCTGCGGGGCGGCCTTTCCAGGCTCCTGTGCTTTTTCCTGTGGACACCAAAGAGGAGACGAGTTGCTGGCTCCTTCCACCGGCTTCCCAGGTTTCCGCCACTTCCATCCCCAAAGTCTCACCTGGTTGAGGGGAGAATAAAGAAGATAGCCTGAAGTCCGCCGGTGTCGCTCTGTGGGGCCTGGGAAAGAGGGTGTCCGTGTCTGGGTGGCAGGGGCCAGCGCTGGTCACCACGATGGGCCGCGTCCCTGGGCCCATCCGCACCCGCCCGGCCTCAGCCACCAAGGCCCCCAAAACAGGGCTGGGTCCTGAGGGCTTGCGGAGGATCTGGAATCCACAGGGTAAGGCCTACGTGGTGGATGAGGGGCACCTCCAGGTTGACCCCAGAAAGGTGGTGCCGCCCAAAGACCTTCACTCAGTGGTGCCCCGCGGCAGGACCTTCTTGTCCCTTCTGCCCCAGACCAGGCTCCTGGGAAGCCAGGAGCTCACCAGAGCCGGGGGTACCTAGGCCAGTACCCCTGGGTGAGTCCCCACCACCCCGCAGTCCCCTGCACACACCCTGCAGGCCGCTGGCCAGCCAGACCCAGGGACAGGGCCCCTGTTGCGGGGGAGCCGGCTCCTCGTGGGTTGTGCAGGAGCTGTTTTGGGGTCTCCTGATCTCCTGACAGGGTCGGTGGAAGGTGGCCCCTAGGAAACAGGGAGTGTTTTGTGCAGCTGTGTTGGGGTTTCCCGGCTCTTGAAGGATCCCGACAGTGCCTAGGACGGGAGCCAGAATGGAGACCCCGCCTCTGTGTCCAGGGGCCCCTGAGGTCACAACCCCCGGGACCCCTAACACCCGGTCTTTCTGACCTCTGTGTCCAAAAATGGGGAGACGCATCAGAGCTTCGGAAGCTTGCGCGCTGGGTGTGCTCACTTGTTGGCTCCGCCTTCTTATTCCTGTGTTTGCTTTGGAGGAAGATCCCGTGGGCCGTGTCCCCGCCGCTGCCTTCGTCCTCGGGAGGGCACCTCAGGCCAGCACGCGAGCCGTGCCTGCGTCCCCGCCTGGCTCTCCTCTGCGGAGTCCTGAGCGGCCCCCCCCCGGGGAGCCCCCCGGCTCCGTTCACCCCAGCCTGGGCTCCCTCCTCCGCGGGAGAGGTGGGTCAGGGCGAGGGCCCCCAGCCGGGTCACCGCCGGCCCTCGCGTGCCCTTGCAGCGCCGGGCTAACCTGCACCCGCGTTCACGACGGGGCGAGGCAGGTGGAGGTAACCTGATGGTGTTGCAGTCGCCCCGGTAGAGGCAGTGTTACCATTTTACAGTAGAAATTACCAATTTGGCTTTCCTTTTACTTATTAATTTATTTTTTTATCTTCCACGAAGTCTTTGGAACCCGACGTGTCCTTTGCTGTCACAGTGCACCTCGGCCCAGAGCAGTCACATCATGGGGCCCAGGGGCCGCATGTGGCCAGGAGCTGTGTCAGGCAGCGCAGGCCCAAATGGGCTGTGCTCTGTGTCCACTCCGGCCGTCAGGCCACTGGGCTTCAGCCTGGGGACCCGGGGCCATTGCAGGACATCTGTGGTGGTCCCACGGGGAGCTGCTGGCATCTGGTGGGTGGGGCCTCGGGTGCTGCTCCGCCCCCCCGGCACCCGGGTCGCAGGATGACCCCACAGAGAAGGATCCCAAATGGCCATGGTGTGGGATGGGGGGAGACGAGACCCTGCATTAATTATTTGGAAAAGAAATTGAGTCCAGTCTCCGCACACACTAGACGTCAGAGTAATTCCCCAGGGGTCAGAGGGTACAACCAGGGCGACCCAGCGACTGAGTCACCCCCTCCCTTCTACTCAGTGTTTATGTTTACTGATTTTTTTAAAGATTTTATTTATTCCTAAGAGAAACAGAGGGGCAGACCCAGGCAGAGGGAGAAGCAGGCTCCCTGCGGGGAGCCCGATGCGGGACTCGATCCCAGGACCCCGGGGTCACACCCTGAGCCAAAGGCAGACGCTCCACCGCTGAGCCCCCCACATGCCCCTTATTTAAGTAAGCTGTATGTGGGGCTCGAACTCTCAAAGCTGAGAGCCGCATGACCCTCGATGTGTCACGTGTGCAGCCTCCCAGGACCCCAGTCGTCAGATGACTGTGGAAGGCAGTGCGTGGGGGTCGGTGGAAGCCCTAACCCAGGGTCTCACCCAGGACAGTCCTGCCCCCAGGGACACTGGGTAATACCTGGGGACCTCTGTGGTGGTCACACCGGGGAGCTCCTGGCATGCAGGGGGTGGGCCCAGGGGTGCGGCTCCGCCCCCAGGGCCCCCCATCCGGCCTCTGCAGAGAACCACCCGCCCGGGTGGACAGTGCCGAGGGGGGAGCCTGACTCAGCCCGAAATCCTACCGCCATTCGAGTGGTCCAAGAGGCAGAGGCCAGACCCTGGTTCATGTGTGTCCCAGGCAGCCCCGCCTGGACCACTGGACTTCCTGCGTCCACAGCCTGGACACGGTGTGCCCAGAGGGGTATGGGCAGGGGTGGCCCAGAACCTTCTGGAAGTGGGGAGTCCAGACACGGGTGCTCAGCCGGCCCTCGGGGTGGAGGTGTGCGCCGGGCAGGAAGCCTCAGGTCAGAGGCGGAAGCGGGCCTCCCTCTGCGGGCCGCGACTCCGGGTTACCGGAGGTCAGAGGAAACCGCCACAGGGCTTCCCAGAAAGCAGGGTCCCCGGCCGAGTGGGGGCGAGGAAGGGGAAGGGGCGCCCAGGCCGCGCCCTCCGCAGCCGGGCGCTGACCAGGTGTGCGGGCCTCGGGCCCAGGTGGGTGGAGGACCGGCCTGGTCTGCCGTCCCCATGGCGACGACAGGCTGGCCCGAGGAGGACGGGCCGGACCGAGAGGCCGAGGGAGAGGCCGCCCCGGTGCCTGAACCCGGCCGAGCTCAGGCTCGGGTTTCTGCTCGGGCTCCCTGGGGGCCTCCGGCGAGGGGGGCCTGCGGCCCACGGCCCGTCTCCCCGGGGACGCGGCGCCTGCTGGAACCTGGGGCCTAACTGCATTGTCCCCCACCCGGGCTCCGGGCCTCCGTGCCACCCCCGCCCCGGCCGGCCAAGGGGGTCATCCCAGGCCACCCAAGAGGGCGGGCCCTGCCCCTGCGGCCCGAGCCCCTTCTCCCTTCACCCCGTCCTGTGGGCCGCACAGGTCTGACCCCGGAGAGGAGGGGCTGCTTGCCCAAGGCGATAGGGGACCCGACCAGAGGATCCACCCCCCCCCACCGCCCCCTGCACAAAGGCTGGCCGTCCTGCTGTCCCCATGGCCCAGCTTTCCCCCGACTCGGTCACCGTCTTCGATCCGCGGATAGTGGGATAGTCGGGGCGGTTCTGTGGGCCCCGCTGGGGGTCCACAGCCTCATGGCGCCCCAAAGGCTAAAGGCAAAGCCATACAGAACCCCAGGGACTGAGTGTTCTCCCCGAGATCCCCCCGCCCACGAAGGAAGGTCACCGGGAGCCCTCAGGGGCAGAAGGCATCCCAAGCAAGGGACCCACTTAATGGGCCCTGGAGAAGACTAGCCTGGCGGGGGTGGGGTGGGGGTGGGGCAGAGTAGGGTCCACCCCCTGGTTGAGGGAGGTGGAGGAGGGTCCTCGGTTCAGGAAGGGGAGGGGGCCGGGGGGTCCCCAGGCGCCTGGGGTTGCTGTCTCGTGTCTGGCGGTGCCATGGGAACACGGCGGGGACATGGGCTCCCCCCCCAGGTGGAGTGGAAGCCTGTTAGGTCTGCGCCCCCCAACACCGGCCCTGGGCGCGGTTGGACGTCTGGCTAAGAAACCAGTGCTCTGTGCCAGGGACAGCTGCCACCCGCGAGCCGGGCAGTAACCTCAGACAAACAGGTTTAGGAAGATGAGTTAATAAGGAGCGAGGTGCGTGGTGGTCTAGCCCCCCCCCCCCGTGGCCCCCCTCGTGCCGCCGAGCGGGATTAAGGTCTCAGAGCTGCGTCCTGGAGGCCCCAGCGCGTCCTCCCCTGGGGTCCAGCCCTTAGATCTGTCTCCACAACAGCCCTGGTCCAGGTGACCTGCCCGTTGGAGGTAAGGGCTGGGCCCTGAGCAGCTGTCCTGGGTGCCCCCTTCCCCTCAAAGGACGAAGCCCACCCGGCACGGCTTCCGTTCTGCTGCCTCTGAGCCTGCCCGCTCCTGCCTGCTGACTGGCGGGCATCAGCTCAGAACGCACCTTCTCCGGGAGGCCGCTCCCTCGCAGCCCCCGGGTGGCCGCTGCAGCCGCTCTGCTCCCGCCATCCCCCTGCTCCGCCGCCATCCCCCTGCCCTGACCCCCATCTCCTCTCTTCCAGTGACAGGCTTGGGTTTTTTCACAGGGACCCAGGACATTTCCAAACACAGCCCCGTGACTGCCCCCAAGCCCGTGGGGCCCTAGGGCCCAGGGTGCAAACGCAGGGGCTACCCAGGGGTCATGGGGGCGAGGAGAGGCGAGGAGGGCGCTGGGGGGGGAGGTGCACATCTCTCACTCTCACTCTTCTCCCTGTCTTTGCACCTGCTGCTCCCTGTTCTGGAAGCTTCTCTCATTGCCCCCCTCCACCCCCAGCTCCTGCAGGAACTTCAGGCTCCAGACAAACATTCCCGCTCAGGGCCGCCTTCTCCTGCCCCCTGCCCCCTGCCAAGGGCTGCCAGACCTTCCCAGGACCTTCGGCATCACTACTTTGTTGGATTTTCCCACCTCCCATCTCTGCGGCCTCGGACTTGGCAGTGGGCTCTTCAACATGACACATGAGCACAAGCAGCGCGAGAAAACGTAGGTGAGCTGGGCCGATCCACGTTAAACAGTCGGGTGCGTGAAAGGACCCCGTCAAGGGACAAGCCGCAGAGCGGGAGGGGATACTTGCAGATGCTGCCTGGGGGACGGGTCTAGCGCCCGGTGTGGAAGGAATCCTCACGGCTCAGCACCCAGTTAAGAAGCCGACAAACGACGTGGATGGGCACCTCCCCAGAGATGACGCGCAAGTGGCCCCTGCGCACGTGAACGGGCGCTGGCCTCGGTTCCCCACGGATGACGCCTGGATTTGGGCTGGATTTCTGGCTGGTCCTCAGAGGGGTGGGGTCCCAGCGCGGGGACCTGGGAGGTGCCTTGGCCAGGCCGAGGCCCAGGGTCCTGGGGTGGGGGGTCAGGAGGGATGCTGGAATGAACCCCTGGGCGTGCTGTC